ATTGAAACTTACTTATCCTGAAACCGAAATCAAGTGGCATTTACTGTTGAGAGACAGCAAAATAATGGTCAAAAGCCTGCCAGATTTCCTGATGTTTTGTTGAAGTTATCAGTACATACAAGGAGAAAGCCTGTGTATGATCAGTATCTGAATGGTCACCAACTTTGTATTCTTGAAGTACTCTTAAAGTAAAAAGTTAACTTGCTGGAATTACTTGCTTTTGTACTTGATGCATTTTTAAATTTACATTTTGAATAAACTTTATTTAAATTGTAACCTGTTTTATGTTGTTTTGAGTAGAACAAGTGGTTAGTTTACTTTGCTGAAATAGTTGAAATTTTTTCCTGGTCTCTCCTGAAATGGATGGGCTTTAAGGCCAAAATTTTCCTGTATATGTGTTGATATAAATTTCTTCTGAATAGGCCTAAAATGACATGGACTAAAGATCATGATGTGCTGCTTTGCCGTGAAATTCTGGCAGAGGAGCCTTATCAATACAAGCATGTGTCAAGGGAAAGGGGGAAATGCTGGGACAAAATTGCAGATGTATAAATGGAGTAGAAAGGCCAAAGTTCAGTGTTTATCAGAGAGCTGTTAGGGACAGATTCGTAAAATTAGAAAGGGGTTTTAGAAGGAAAATGAACGAAGAAATGAGGGCTAGTGGGGTAGCACCAGAACCCAGTGAGCTAGATGAAGCAATGGAGGATATTTTGGAAAGAAAAGGCAGTGCAGAGCAGCAGCAAGCAAAGTGTGATGATGGTAAGAGACAGGCAACAGGGGCAGAGAAGGAAATGGCACAAGCTGCGAGGAAAAGGGCTATGGAGAGTCTCTCAGAAACTAACGCAAGATAATGTTCAAAGAGGAAAAAGGGTGATGAGACAAGTGAGTATGTTGGGTACCTGAGAGAGAAACGCGAATCAAACATGAAACTTGGAGAGAGTGAAGTTAATTTTGAAAGAGAGAAGGTTGAAATAAAGGAAAGAAAATTGGACCAAGAAACTGAGTTGAGAAAGAGAGAACTTGAGTTGAAGGTGTGGGAGATAGAGTTGAGAGAGAAAAGTCAAGAATTGAAGGCAAGGGAGCATGAACAATTTGAAATGAAGTTTAAAGTATACAAGGAACAGCAAAAGATGATGAATGCTCAAATAGCGTGCATAAAAAATAAATTGACAATTATTGAGGAACAAAATTTAACTATTTTAAAAATATTAGAAAGATTTGAAAAGTAATATTGTTTGCTGATATTTGCTTAATTGTATTAAAAAAGTCAAAAGGTAAAATTATGTTGAATTTTTTTATTCTAAATTCTTTTCCAACTAATTTCATAGAGAAATATTGGAAAATTGATCTCAAATTTTAACTCTGTACAAATACAAATGTTTGGGTATCTTCTCATGCTCCACCCAAAACCACAGAGTTGTAAATAAGCACCCCCCCCCTCTCTAAAACACAGATTTGTATAAATATGGTACAGTAACATCACTTATGAAAGTTTTGATTATCTCTATTCAATGCTATTTATTTAATTGGCTGTTTCAAATAAGTTAATCTTCAATCTCAGTTTAAAGAGCAGATGGTTTTTGCCTTAAAAATATTTTTTTCTTGCCTGTGATTAACAATTTATTTTCCTGTTTGCCTTTTCACTTACACTATGCTACATGTCTTTTCAAAAGATTCTTTAAGTTTGAGAAACAGGCAAACAAAACCAAGACCTTGATTTGAAAGTGAAAATTTCTTCAATTTTTTGTCATTTCTTCAAAGTTTTAAGTGAAACCTAGGAACGATCAAGTCAAGTATTTAATGTTAAAAATATACAAAGTGGCAAAAAATTTTGGAATCTGTTAGAGCTTTTGATTTTTTTACATACTTTGGTACCCAAAAGGTTTGATCATTACTTTTTAAATATTCTACAGCAGGAATGCATCCTATGGTAGTTACAAAAAATTTTCCTTTCCATAATTTCTTTTAAGAGAAAAACAAAACAGATAATCGTGTGCTGTGTGAAAGAAAAGGAAAACTTGGTATTCTTGGTAGCTTTTATTGATCTTTGATTGGTACAACCTACTGGAAATACTCTTCGATAGTTGGAGGATCAACATCAAAAAATTTTGAAGTGTTGTTGCCATATAAACATGTCAATCCGTTGCGTAGCAATGCACACACCATGTAGATCTTGCCAACTGCCCTCAAACCAATTTTAGGATCTTTTTTAAAATCTGTGAATTTAAAGTAATTTACAATATCTCCAAATACCCACTCAACAGAAATTCTAACTTGACTCATGGATTGGTTAAATGCCTCTTCCTCTGGAGTAAGGTCAGCCCTTCTGGCAAATGGGCATTGGAGATGCACTCTGTGGGGATAAGCTGGGTCACCATAAAGACACAATGCTTGGCCAGTTGGGGAAAATGAATGATGTTCCAGATCATGCAAGAGGCCAGACATATTTAACATACCACTGTCTTCTTCCCTCAACTGGACCAAAAAGATTTGCAATGAGACCATTGGGAGTCACAACTGACTGGAACTTAAGGGCATGAACCCGTTTGCGTCCATTGTAAACTTCCCTCTGGTTGTCCTTGGGCCTACAAATCGGTCTTATTGTGCCATCAATGAATCCCCAGCAGTTATCCAATGCAGCACCTCTGTTGTGAATTGCCTGTGCATACATCTTCAGGTGTTGTGGGGAAAGCCATGGCAGGTTCAGGTTTTGAAGCCGGTCAGAAAATGAATCATATAAAAAATTAACCACAAGGTTAGTTATCATGCAGAGTTGAGGCACGGGTCTTCCAAACCTTGGTATCAGGTCTGCATATCTGCATGGGTACGCAAAACGTTTCAGGCAAACACATAGTGCTTCAACTGGCCCCATTACAGCTCTATTTGAGCACTTAAAAACTTCTGGAAGGTGTGATGCAGCAGCGAGCCTAGCTATGTCTTGTTTCTTAAACCGAAACTGGACCTCACATTTGTCCTCTCGCATCTCATCCAGATTAAAACGTTCATATTACCAATATGGAAGTCCAACATGCAGGTTTCCGTGTCTATTTGCCTCATGAAAAACAAGGAATTTGTCATCATCGATCTCGCCGTCATCGTGCATGAGAACTATTCTGAGTCGTCTTCCGTATTCGTAACTTAAAGGCATTGAGTCATGATAAATAGGCTGGGTATACCCTAAGTGCCAAAATCGGCTGAGTCATGATTTCCATGACTGCGATGCTATTGGCTGACCTTGAACTGGTCACATGAACTCACCTCATACTGATTAACGTAACAGTTTCCATCAATAGCAAGTTGTCAACAATGGATGCCAATATCACATGAAACAGCAGCAATCACGCCGAAACCAAATAACCCCCCATAGAGAAAGCCTATTTACCATGACTCAATGCCTTTAAATTGCACACGCGAATAAGTGCCCCTCAACTCATTTAGTACCCAGACCTCCATGAGCTGTCCTCACTTGAGTCACTTGAATCAAAAACTCTCTAATGAGCCATCACTTTCGATGAGAGAAGGAGGAAATGTGCATAACTCATAAGAATAAGCTGTCTCTAAGTCTAGTTCTGCTCCGATACCTCTGACAGCTGTTATTAGACGTTGAAACATCAAGAGCGGGTCGATAGAAATGATTTCACCATCTTTTTGGATGCTGGATCCTGCTTTCATGGTTACGGCAATGTCTTTCCTTTTAAACGAATACTCTCCAACTTCACTTCCAGAAATTGATTCTAAAATACATTTCCCGATTTTCTTTGCATCATCTACATTGACAGCAGAAATTGCAACCTCTCCTGTGTCAATGCTTGTAAGCTCCTTACGGTTGTCAAAAGGATATCTTGATGTTAAATACCGTAAAATTTTCCTTGCATCCTTGAAATCTCTTGATAGGCGAACTTACCCGTCAGGTAATCAAACTCTTCAAGAGCAGCCCTAAAAATTGCCAAATCGAAAACAGGGCTTTGAAAAGTTAACCTTTGTTTATAATGAATTGGTGATTGTTTTTAAAATACAATAATTCCATTCCTTTTTTGTCAATTTCATATGCAACTTTTACGATTAAAGCTGACGGCAAAGGCAGTAGTATATTTATTGGTCAATGGTCTCTAACAATATCAACTTCTAATTCAACTTCATTTTTCACCTCAAACAAATCATCCTCTTCAACCGCTTCTCTCTCTGACAGTCTGCTTTTGGGGGTCTCTTCCTTTGCACTGACAAGTCTTCTGCGTCTTTCTTTCTTTTTGGCAATGAAAGCATCCTGCTCTCTTGTTACTCGGCTGAGCAAAATTGATATTTCCTTACTGTTATATAGGACATTGAGACAGTGTTCAAGTGCAAGTGGATCCGGTACCACAGATTGTGCACA